TCATGTGTTTGGAACCATACCACCTGCATCCTTTGTAGGTCTCCGTCTCAGTCCCAGCACACACCTGAGCGGAGGCTGCCCTTCCATTTGCAGTTCTAATACAAGTCACCCTCGGCAAGGCTGCCTGCAGAGGGGACACCCTTCCTATATCAAGTTTGTTCTTTTGCCTCAAGGCCTATCAGTGTATGTTTCCCACAAACTATCTATCTGGCTAATAAAACCCTTTAAAAATACATACCACAGAAAGAGGTGGATGCAAATAGAATGCTTTTCTAAGATGCCTTTTCTGCTGGTCAGAAATCTCAGCTATGTAAGAAGGCCAGTTTAATGATGGCAGGAAACAGCCTTACCAGGTTACCGAAGGAAACAGAACCACCCCACTGAGCCAAGGCAGGCCAGAGAGGTGGCCTTTGTAAGAGCATTCGCCGCCCCTGAGATCTCTGGTATTTATTTAACCTCAGAAAGAAAAATCTGTGTGCCTTTCTAACTCCTATGCTAAGATCCACTGTATCTGAGCAGGCAGAGAAGGACGGGAAGGCCTGCCAGAGTGCCTCTGAAAAATAAATGTCTCCAAGATTGATGGCCTGATGATCTCTTTGGAGATTATTTCAAATATTATTGATTATGTTAGTAAGTTGTAGAAAATAGGTTCTGAGGTGGGGAACTAAGTGCTGTCTTTAAAATAATCCAGAGGCAGTAGAATAAATCAACATATGGAGCATCTAAAACACTATTACCACCATCCTGGTTTCACAAATAGCTTGGCCTCAGTGTGGGAAAAACGAGTCCTTTTTTTTTTAAGTAGCTGAACAGTCTTAGCATGCTAAAAAAAAAAACGGGAAGCCAAAATCTTATTCTACTATTTACTTTGCAGAATTTCACAGAATTCCTCCCTTCCAGCATTCATTTATTTCCTAAATCAATGGAGAACCACAAAGTTTTTAAATTGATTTGTGCCAGAGAGGGCTGTTCTCTATTTTTGCTTTTTTCAAAAATGAAGATCTAAAAATTGTATGAGATATTTTGGTTTCAACAACCGGCACTGAAAAGCTTAGTCCCGCTCAGGTTTTTGGAGTTCAATCCAAATTTCAGTATGCAGTAACACTCTTCTATTTCAGGGTGGTTTGTAGTATTTTCTATTTGCATTTAGGACCATTGATTCCGGCTTACAAGAAAAATAATTCCAGTACTGTATCTTGCCAAAAATACTCAGTATGCGGAAGTACCAATTTTCAAATCATTAAATTGAATGATTTTTTTTTCATATTATGACAACATTCTCTGCTTTGAAGGATTCACCAGAGGAGTTTGGAAAAGTAATTGTCCCCCAGGGCATGTAACTGTTTTCTTATAAACAGTTAACTGTTTTAGAGGAGGGAGTAGCTCCCTTCTCTATAGTGAGAGCTATAAGGTGTCAGAAGACAAAGATGATGGAAAAGTAGTGATTAAACGCGGCGCTAAACCAGTTACAGGACTCAGACACAAAGGGACTCCTGTTGGCACACGTTCCAGTTGGGTATCAGCTCAGAACCTGGGAGACCTGAGTTAGGGAATCTCTTTTCTTTATGGGTCTCAGTTTCCTCACTGGTAAACGCAGGAGATCAAACCAGATGATCTTTAAGTCTTTGAGTCTGTGTAATTTATTGATTCTGTTTCCTGAAGTAAGATGCACTTGTTCGGAGGGATTTGTGAACTGAGCATGTTAAAGGGCTCTGGGTCTCTGGTTATCTCTGTACCTTAATGTTTATTCCGCAAATCAGAACTGTGTTCCTTTGATGTGCTTTGTGCCGGGAACGGAAGGTTGCACAAATAGGGCTCCTCCCATCAGGCGTCATCCAATCGGGGCTTAGGTGGGGCAGGGCAGGGACAGACTAAGAAAAGTTCCGCTGAACTGAATTTATCCTTGGGGAGGTGATCTCTGACAGTCATAGAGCGCAGACTCCTTGGATGAAGAGTTACTGAACCTGCATTCACGTGCAGGGCGCTCAGGATAGAATAGTGACTGAGCAATGACGCCTAGCTTGAGTCTGTATTTCTTGGAGCCACCCCGATGTTCTGCTTTGAGAGCGTGCATGACCTTTGCTCATTCCCTCATCAGAGCCTTGTCTCATTCTACTGTGTTCATAGTGAACCTAAAAATACCTCGTCTGCTTTGGATCATTCTCAGATGATGAAATTAAAGAGCCTAGGATTGAGTTCTATGGGCAGTATTAAAGCTCCTGCTGGTTTGTATCTGTGATCCCTGAAAAAGAGCTCTGTCGCTTCCATGGGCCAGTGAGTGTGCTCCACAGAAAGGCAGCTGCGATCCCCGCCGTCCCACGGGGTTCCCTGTTCTCCTGGGAGGCTATTCAGGCCTATTGCATCCAAGTTACTGCTTCACACACTTAGCACACGAGGCATTTCCAAAGGACAGCCAGACAGAGGAATTGCATGTGAAATTAAGTTCTTTTATAAAAAGTGATACCATCTTCCTGCTTTTTATTTTTACTATCTCTTCTGCTTATGAAATCCCTCTGTGAAACAGTACTCTTCCTGCTGGCCTACTTAGTGTTTGCTAGCTACATTAGCAGATGACAGCAGCAAGGAATATTTGACCCCCGGTTGGAACCAAGCAAATGCATGCCCCAAATTTCACTTTATGAGAGCCTTCCTGTAAGGCAGAGTTGGAAAAAAAGAAATGAGAAAGTCTCGTGGGGTATGGAGAGAGCCCATGTTCTAATCCAGACTCTGCTATTAGCAAAATGAAGTTTGATGTTCTCATCTAAAGAAAGGATAAATAATATGTGCCTTGCCAGCCCTGGATATGAAAGGGTTTTATAAACTACAAAAATAATTTGTGATTTAAGATGTTAAATTTACGAGGGGGACTTTTTAACTTATGGCCAGAATTTAAAACCAGTTTAAAACCAGAAAGGAGATAACCAAGTAGAGTTGATGGCTTGGTTTTCCATTGATGATAAATGTTGACTAGTTCCATAGGATGAAACTATGTCATATGTGCAGCTAGGGAGACTTCATTTTTTCATCCTTGGTTAAAAATAATTTAGAGAGAATGGTGAAGTGATGCAGGGGAAGAGCAGGTTTTAGAGTAAAACAGACCAGTGGTTGAGATCCTGCTCTACTATGTACTAGTTTGGAGATGGGTCTGCACTAATGCTCCAACCAGATAAACTTCTCTACTACTCAGTTTTCTTTCTTTTTTTTCTTTATTAAGGTATCGTTGAAATACAGTCTTATGCTCAGAATTCACTTGAGCAACATCGTGGTTACTACATTCCCCCTATTATCAAGTCCCCACCACATACCCCATTACAGTCACTGTCCATCAGCATAGTAAGCTTCTCTGTGCTATACCTTCCCCATGCTCCCCCTATATTATGTGTGCTAAACATAATGCCCCTTAATCCTCTTATCCCTCCCTTCCCACCCACCCTCCCCAGTCCCTTTCCCTTTGGCAACTGTTAGTCCATTCTTGGGTTCTGTAAGTCTGCTGCTGTTTTGTTCCTTCAGTTTTTGCTTTGTGGTTACATTCCACAGATGAGTGAAATCATTTGATACTTGTCTTTTTCCACCTGGCTTATTTCACTGTAATACTCAGTTTTCTAACCTGTAGTTGGGTAAAATAGTATCTATTACCTAGGGTTGTTGTGAAGATTAAATAGAATAACGTGGGAAAATGCCTGATGCAATGCCTAGGTCATAGTGTGCAAAAGGATTCATTTCCCATCCGCTCTTATCTCCATACTCGCTGGTGAGGAGGAGGGGAATGGGAATGTAAGGGTCCTGCACAGTATGTCTTCTGTGGAAGAACTCATAATCTGGGGGCTTCTAAACATCTGAGTTATTAGAGTACAAATAGACTTAGCTGTTCCTTGTTAAATAGCCCATTTATCCTCCCTCTATTTAAATGCTTGACAGACTGTACTGGTTGGAATAGGAAAATGGTTTTATCTTTGAATCTGCATAGTTCCAGAGGTGGGGTGACTATGGAAATTTAATAGTGACTAAAATAATTGGAAGTAAATTATGCTTAAGAAAATAAATCTCTTGTAATTCATTAATTTTTTTCTCACACAAATTTTTTCTTACCTCCCTTGTTCTGAATAGCACATCCACTCATGGGTATCACTTAGATCATGCACCTCCTCAGGGACTGTCATGTCTGTTTGTTACATGATGTTTTGTTCATCCTCATAGTATTAGGTTAAATCTTGATTAGGTTACAAGAAAAGAGGTACTATATTGAAAGCATGTCTTTAAAAGATCATGACTATAAAAGTAATTATCTAGCCATTGAACAATGTTAATGGGAGAAATACTAGAAAATGCAGGTATGGCCCCTAAATCCTACAATACAGTTAATCCTTCTCTAAGTGTAAAAATGCAGTTGTATATATAAATGTTAAATAATAATAGAATCATACCACATACATGGTTTTGTGATTTTTTTCCCACATAGCAATGTATCTTACCACATTTGAAAATATACATTAAAATCATTGTTTTTAATGGCTTCATAGTATTTCATTTCATGAATGTGCCACATAATTGATTCTCTATTGATAGGCAGTCAATATTTCTTCAGTGTTTTTGCATTTTAAATTGTGCTGTAAATGTACGCTTGTCTAATTATTGCCATAGGATAGTTGCGTAGCAGGTAATTCTAAGTCAAAAGTAAATGGACTTTTTAAGACTTCCAGTACATATTTTAAATTGACTTTCAGAATATAAGAGGTCTTGTACCAATGAACAATTCCATCCACAGTGTAAAAGTGTTATTTTAAAAAAATCAAAATAAGGCTAATCCTAGTGATTTTTGAATTCCTTGTGATCTAGTATAGTGAGGTTTCTAATTTTTTTCTTGTATTCATGTTTTAGTAAAAGGATTTCATAGTAAAGTTTTAAATAAGCACTGTTTCATAACAGTTATTTTCCATTCCATTTCCTGCTTTCCTCTAGATTAATTTTCTTTTTCCTGTCTCTCTTTTGTCCCCCTCCAGGATGGAGATATAATGTGATGGATGTAACTATGGGGTGCTGTGTGGGTACACGGCCTCCTCCTCCTTGCCTCATCCTCCTGCTTCTCAAGCTGTTGGCCACTGTCTCCCAGGGGCTGCCGGGGACTGGGCCCCTGGGCTTCCACTTCACACAGTCCGTTTACAATGCTACCGTGTATGAGAACTCAGCAGCAAGGACCTATGTCAACAGCCAAAGTAGAATGGGCATCACCTTAATAGATCTGTCCTGGGATATCAAATATAGAATAGTGTCTGGAGACGAGGAAGGCTTTTTCAAAGCAGAGGAAGTCATCATTGCAGATTTCTGTTTTCTCAGAATAAGAACTAAAGGTGGCAATTCTGCCATACTCAACAGGGAAATTCAGGACAATTATTTATTAATAGTAAAAGGTTCTGTCAGAGGAGAGGATTTGGAAGCGTGGACCAAAGTGAATATACAGGTTTTAGATATGAATGACCTGAGGCCTTTATTTTCCCCCACAACATACTCTGTTACAATAGCAGAAAGCACACCTTTAAGGACTAGTGTTGCCCAGGTGACAGCTACGGATGCAGATATCGGTTCCAATGGAGAATTCTACTACTACTTTAAAAACAAAGTTGATCTCTTTTCAGTTCACCCCACAAGTGGTGTCATCTCCTTAAGTGGACGGTTAAATTATGATGAAAAGAATAGATATGATCTGGAAATTTTGGCTGTGGACCGGGGGATGAAACTCTATGGGAACAATGGAGTGAGCAGTACAGCAAAGCTCTATGTTCACATTGAACGTATAAATGAGCACGCCCCGACTCTCCATGTTGTCACACATGTTCCTTTCCTGCTGGACAGAGAGCCGACGTATGCAGTGGTGACAGTCAATGACCTAGACGAGGGGGCCAATGGAGAGATTGAATCTGTTTCCATTGTGGCTGGGGATCCTTTTGATCAGTTCCTCCTGGCCAAGGAAGGAAAGTGGATAAACGAGTACAGAATTAAGGAGAGAAAGCAGGTAGACTGGGAGGGCTTTCCCTATGGCTACAATCTCACTCTTCAAGCCAAAGACAAAGGGTCGCCTCAGAAATTTTCAGCTATAAAGATAGTCCACATTGCCAACCCCAAAAGAGACACTGTCCCAATTAGATTTGAAAAAGAAACGTACGATGTGAGCATTAGTGAATTTTCCCCTCCTGGTGTCATGGTTGCTATAGTAAAATTAAGTCCTGAACCATTAGATGTGGAATACAAATTATCTCCTGGGGAGGATGCACAGTACTTCAAAATTAATCCCCGGTCCGGTCTGATTGTCACAGCACAGCCACTGAATACTGTTAAGAAGGAGGTTTATAAACTGGTGGTGACAAACAAGGAAGGAGATTTAAAAGCACAAGTCACCATCGGCATAGAAGATGCGAATGACCACACCCCAGAATTTCAGCAGCTGTTGTATGATGCTTTTGTAAATGAAAGTGTTTCAGTGGGCACGAGCGTTCTGATGGTTTCAGCTTCTGATAAAGATAAAGGAGAAAATGGATACATCACCTACAGTATTGCCAGCCTGAATTTGTTACCATTTGCCATTAACCAGTTTACAGGTGTTATTAGCACAACTGAAGAACTGGATTTTGAATCCTCACCAGAAACTTACAGGTTTATTGTAAGAGCCTCTGACTGGGGTTCACCATACCGCCATGAAAGTGAGGTGAATGTGACTATTCGAATAGGAAATGTCAATGACAACAGCCCTCTCTTTGAAAAAGTGGCTTGCCAAGGAGTTATTTCATATGACTTTCCAGTTGGGGGTCACATCACAGCTGTCTCAGCAATTGATATTGATGAACTTGAACTTGTAAAGTATAAAATCATCTCTGGAAATGAACTTGGTTTCTTTTATTTAAACCCAGATTCTGGTGTTTTACAGCTTAAAAAGTCACTGATGAATTCTGGCATTAAAAATGGTAATTTTGCCCTTAGGATTACAGCAACCGATGGAGAGAATTTTGCAGATCCTATGTCTGTTAACATTTCGGTCCTACATGGGAAGGTGTCTTCAAAGAGCTTCAGTTGCAGAGAAACTCGTGTGGCTCAGAAGCTGGCAGAGAAACTACTCATTAAAGCAAAAGCAAATGGAAAACTGAATCTGGAAGATGGATTTCTTGACTTTTATTCAATTAATAGGCAAGGACCACATTTTGACAAGTCATTTCCTTCTGATGTTGCTGTGAAGGAGAATCTGCCAGTTGGAGCTAACATCCTAAAGATCAAAGCCTATGATGCTGACTCTGGTTTCAATGGAAAGGTGTTATTTACAATATCTGATGGAAATACAGATAGTTGCTTTAATATTGATATGGAGACCGGGCAGCTCAAAATCCTTATGCCTATGGATCGAGAGCACACAGACCTCTATCTTCTTAATATCACAATCTATGACTTAGGTAATCCACAGAAGTCATCATGGAGGTTGCTGACCATCAATGTGGAGGATGCTAATGATAATAGCCCGATTTTCCTTCAGGACAGTTACTCAGTTAACATTCTTGAAAGCTCAAGTATTGGTACTGAGATTATTCAAGTGGAAGCCAGAGACAAAGACTTGGGTTCTAATGGTGAAGTGACCTATTCAGTCTTGACAGACACACAGCAGTTTGCCATCAATAGCTCAACTGGAATCGTTTATGTAACTGACCAACTGGACCGGGAAACTAAAGCAAACTACTCTTTAAAAATAGAAGCCAGAGACAAGGCAGAGAGCGGCCAGCAGCTATTTTCAGTTGTCACTCTTAAGGTTTTTTTGGATGACGTCAATGACTGCTCCCCAGCTTTCATCCCCAGTAGCTATAGTGTGAAGGTTCTAGAAGATCTCCCAGTGGGCACTGTCATTGCTTGGTTGGAGACCCACGATCCAGATCTTGGACTAGGGGGTCAAGTGCGCTATTCTCTGGTCAATGACTATAACGGGAGATTTGAAATAGATAAAGCAAGTGGTGCCATTCGCTTGAGCAAAGAGCTTGACTATGAAAAGCAGCAGCTCTATAATCTCACTGTTCGGGCCAAAGATAAAGGGCGACCTGTCTCTCTGTCATCTGTTTCCTTTGTTGAGGTGGAAGTAGTGGATGTTAATGAAAACCTCCATAGTCCCTATTTCCCAGACTTTGCTGTTGTTGGATCTGTAAAGGAAAACTCACGTCTTGGAACAAGTGTGCTGAAGGTGACTGCCCAAGATGAGGACACCGGGAGGGATGGAGAGGTCCAGTACTCCATAAGGGATGGCAGCGGCCTCGGAAGGTTCAATATAGATGACGAGAGTGGTAAGTTTAATATTTTGTGCCAAAGGGTTGTTTCACCTCTCATGACAGAGATCATAAACATTGGGAAAGTAAGGATCTTTTCTCACATTAAAGTAGAATGACAAAGGAGGTTGCATTTGGTGTCGAGATGACACAGTAAAAGCTTTTTCTCGGAATGTTTTGGTTTGTAAGGAGACCTGTTCATGCAGTAGTAGCTATGGTTTTCAGCGGGAGTCCCTGTTCTGTGTTTATCTTGTTCAGCGCTACTATTACCGCGGTATCTTTGGATAAGCATAAATAATTGTCACCTCTGTTGATTGCACTTCTGACCCTCACTAAATGAAAGGCCCTGATAAAGTAAATTACAGTTGATTTGGCTCTAAATTAGAAGTGTGAAGATTTTCAAATGGATCTTGTATACCAGTCTTTCCCTTTATGGTAATGCTTTGCTAAAGCGCTATTGCATTAGTTGGTCTTTCAGATTTCACAGGCACATCTGGCCCTTGAATGACGGGCATTTGCACTGTGTATTCTCCACTAACACATGAGGGTATGCATCTACAGATGTTTTCATGATAGACTACAGGAGGCATGTTGTAGATTTTACTTATAAAACACTGATTTTAAGATTTTATTTGTGTGTAAGAATTAATTTTGTTATAGAGACATTTTTAAATATGGGGCAAAATTGTCCCAACATTTTCAATGTCCCCTACCTATTTATTTATTTACTCTCCATCATAGATAGAGATAGATATATGTATATATATATTTTTTCTGTTCTTGGTATTGTCATTATTTGTCTTAAAATGTACATGTGCCTGGATACATGCATATGTGTTTGTGTTCCTTGATTAGCAGTGTGTATTTTCTAGTCTTCAGACTGTAGTCATCTTAAGATAGGGACTGTGTCTTCTCTAGGCTTGTGTAAATGGTAATATTAGTGCTTTACAGTTTTCAGGGTGCATTTATATATGTTAAATCATTTTGTACAACACTCACAGGTGTAGGAATACTAACTATGCATCATAATACTAGGAAAAGGATTTGAGAAACTATTAAATACTGGGTATGAGTTACAAAACTGTATGTACCATCACAAATTTAAACTGTGATTTTTGTATACATGGGCTCTAGTTATGGCCAATGTGAAGTGTAAAATTGGTCTCCAGAGCCATAATGGTAACTGTCAACAAAATTGGGTTCTGATTTAGCCACATACTCTAGCCTACCATATATAACTTGTCATTCAATTGGAATGTATTTTCACTTTTGAAGTACAAAATGAGGAAAGAAGGGAAGTAAACTTTATTGAGTGTCTGCTTTGTGCTAATACTTGATTACGACTACTACTGACTTCATTGAATACTTACGATGGGCAACACACTGTAGGAAGGGTTTACATTCGTGTTGTATTTAATTCTCCCAACAGTCCGGTGAGTCTCCTAATAATCATCAACTCATGAACTGACATTCAGAGAAGATAGATAACTTGGAACTTAGTTTTCAAATTTAGCTCTCAGTAACTGCAGTATACTATGCTATCTCTCATCTCAGAACAAGACAGGGTTTCCTTGCGGGTTCCTAGATGCACTTGAATTGGGTGTTGGTCTAAAGTCTGTAAGGCAGTAAAGGGTTAAACAGTTTTCAAAGTCCTTACAGCCTTGCACTCATTGACTGTTGGTACTGGCCATTAATAATGCTTCCCTTTTCTTTACAGTTCCATTGTTTGTGTGGCTGTCCAGTGAGAGAAGCTTTTCCTTGGGACTCAGGTGGATGGGAGTAGATAGGTCAACAGGAAGGTATTGGGCTGAATCATTATCCACTGCTAGCTAGATGACTGCATCGAGCCCTGAGCTGTTTTTATTTGAAGGTTTCGTCTTGGTGCACCTTGATGCAGGGAGGAGCAGGAACAATTTGGTGAGAGTGGCCTAGATGTTTCCTATTTGGACTATGTTTTTTTGTTCTCATTGTAGGTGCTATGTCAGAAAAATGTGTGTATAGTTTCATCTGATGATAGGGATGTCCTTATTCTGCATTTTTCTGTTAGATTCTGGACGGTGTAAAATAAATTTAGCTGTGGATGAAATTAATGCCACTTACATTCTGGTATTATGTTGTGACTTAAAAAGCTCTTTCTTATAGACATTACCTCTTTTGGGCTACAGAGTAGCTAAGCAAATGGTGTAAGATCACATACCCATTAGAGGCCATAGCTGGACCTAGAACCTATATCTCTTCTCAGTCCTAACTCGTGCTCTTTTCTTTTCATTCATTACACATTCTCATTTACTTTCCCAGAGGATTTTTAATTTCAAAAAAATACAGTGGCCATTTCTTTTCCTCCTTTTCATTTCATTTCATTCCCTTCTCTTGGAAAGTAAAGTTCTGTTGTTGTTGTTTTTTCCTTGTATTAGAGGAAAAACAGTTTGGACTGAATGTTGAAATATTTTATGAATTTTAGAATTTCCACACAACCATTCTTAACCAACTTCCTCCCCTTTCACCCCTTGGGGATACTAACATCCAAGCCCAAGACACTGATGAGGAATGATTGCCAGGACTCATGCCAGGGGGATGCTAGGGGTGAGGAGAAGCTTGGCAGATGCATGTCCAACAGGAGAAGTCACCAGGGTGCTGTGGGGTTTGCATAATGCTTGAAGGATCCATCAGCTCTTGGCCTCCAAGTACTAAAAGTCATGGATTGTGCTGCTGACAGAATGAATGGCTATGCAGCCCTGCAGCTGTTACTGTCTCAAGTTCAGGCTCTCTTGTCTTCATTTGACCCTTGGGCATAGAATGTTCTAAACTTGTTTGGATTTTTGTCTTTCAAGAACCTTTAAGTCAGCTGCCAAAGGTTACTTAATGGCTTGCGTTGCCTAGTGGCTCTCACACTCCGGGGAGTGCGCATGAATCAGCTGCAGAGTCTGTTAACAGTGTGGATTCCCAGGCCCAGCACCCAGAGATTGTTTCAGTAGTCTGGGGTCCGAGCCCAGGAATCTTCATTAAGCCTTGTACCCCTTCTGTATGGGGCTTGGTAACACTACCCTAAATTTATATGGGCATTTTACAGCGTGTCTACCAGATAATATATTTTTCTGTAAAGTCCTTTTCCTCATTCTTTGGAAAGGAGGGGAACTGAGCCCATATTTTAAATAGATGCCTTTTTAAGTCAAATTTTACAATCCAAATCCATTTTCTATTATTCATTAGTGGTGATAGTTTTCTGAATGGCTTCCCAATGGATCAAAAATCTATTCCTGGGCCTCAGAAATTACAGTGTTCCTGTTTTGTGAAACCACATTTGCTGGGATTCGTTGATCCATTTAGTAGTTTTATGTGCTTGGTTTTTTTGGAGCTCAGCGAGCAAAACCATACCTTTGAAATTCTTTACCCTGCACAGCATTTAATAAATGTTTAATAATGTTCACAGTAAATGGATTAACTGGGGGGTCTTGACTAGAGTGGATTTGGTCACAATTTAAATTACTAGTCTGGAAGATGCACTTTAATCATTTTTCCCTTCACAAAGAATGCATTCTTATTCTTTGACACAACAGGAATTCATACTCTTCACTAGCTGGAAGTTTTAGATGGTTTAGAAAGAACACATTGCATTTTGTTTTTTTTATTTTGGTATCGTTAATGCACAATTACTTGAACAACATTATGGTTACTAGACTCCCCCTATTATCAAGTCTGCACCACATACCCCATTGTAGTCACTGTCCATCAGCGTAGTAAGATTACATTTCATTTTTTTAAAACTGACTTTCTATTGGATTCTTTTGTAAGCTGCAAACTTGAGCAATAATTTCATTGTTTTTTTCATCTGAGGTTAAAGAAATATTTAGTTGGGATAGATAATTTCCAGTTCAGCACATTCATCGTGAGTAATTGGGAAGATATTGTGCCATATGTTATTGCTAATTATATTATTTCTTTCATTCATCACGTCTCTGTTATGTGTCAGGCACTGTGCTGGGTGCTTTGTGGGGACTATTTCTCATTGTCACGGTAGTCTAGCAAGATAGGGGTAAATGCCTGCCAAGTCAGGGTCATGCATCTGAGACTGGAGCTCCAGTGCAGTGGGTCCAAATCTCATATTAATTACCCTCTTTGCCACTTCAGCATGCCACAGTCAGCTTGTCAAGCAAATGTATTAGTTATATTTTTCTGTCTCATTGCTGCATAACAATCACAAAATGTTAGTAGCTTATAGTAACAGACTTTCTGTCTTGCTCCTGAGTCTGGATGACCAGTTGAAGCAGCAGTGTAGTGGGCTGTGAATGGAGTTATGATCTGTCCCACATCTTCCCACTCTAGGACCCAGGTTGAAGGGGTATCCACCGTCTGGGATGTGATGTTCTCACAGTGGAGGTCGGGAGCACATGAAGGCTGATGGAAGCTTGCAGTGCCTCTTAAGGCCTCTGTTCAAAACTGGCCCACATTCCACCGGCCAATGCAGGTCATGAGGCCAAGCTCACCATTGTTGAGAATACTTCTCTTACAGAGGGAAGGGGGGAAGGGAATCAGTATTTATCCTCAGTGCACTTTAGGTATCATAATGTGAATAATATAGTCTGACATAGCATATGACAATTCCCTCTATTGTCTTCAAAATCTGACATTCGTTGGGTACTATGTATAGGTAAGGCACTGGGCCAGGCACTCAGGACACAAAGAGCCGCAGGTATAAGACCAGATCTTCATGGTGGGAGATTTCTCAGTCTGTCTGGAGGTCAGAATGCAGCTGCAGGTGATGCTAGTGGTGATGGCTACAGCCATTAATATTTACTGGCACCATCTGTGCCAACCTCTGTGTACAGTGCTTTATGCAGATGATCTCTTTCATTTGTCCCTTGAGGTAGGGGCAGTAACTTCCTTATTTTTACATATCTGGTGTTTTAAGAGAAAGAGCTCACATGCACAACACATGTATTTTTTTTATTGAAGTATCATTGATATACAATCTTAGGTTGGTTTCAAATATGCAACACAGTGTTTCAACAGTTACACAT